AGAAACTGAATGCTGAACTTAATCTGAGGCTACGGCTGACAAACGCTGTACCCCCCTTGAGGGAACATTGCTTCCCAAAAAGACACATCTGTTGTATTTGAAAAGCAAGGCTGTGCATGATTTGAACAATGTCAAGATTCTAGTGTTCAACAGAAAAAATAAGGATTGAGAAATGCTACACTGAAGTGTGATTGAATTCAAGGTTTTTTTTAAAGGTTATAATTAAACAAATTATTTAATACATGAATGAGTGTTGTAGTCATGATCAAGTCCTAAAGAGGCTGTTTTGTTCATCAGATTATTGAGCTCACAGTTCCTTTCCAGAGGTTTCAGAGGCACTGCTGAAAGAGGGATGTACGTATGGTGGGCAAACTTTGTCAAACCTCTGTAGCTTTTTTCACCTGGTCTTTCACTCAATGCTATATTAATTTTATTAGCATAAAAGGCTGTCAGCATACTATGCTTACACAAATAAATGATAAAATCTTAAGAAAGCAGTGAACTGAAGGGAACAGGATTTGTAAATGGAATGATATCTTTTCTTTAATACTGTTGAAGTGAATGCTAAAAAGAGAGACACTGTGCTTTAACAATAGCACTAATGAATAGTTTCCTATCAAGGGCTTTGAACTCTCAGTCTTCATCAGATTCCAGTTGTGATATAGTAAGTGGATTAATATTTTATGATCTGAATAGCCACTTGTTCAGATTCATAGGTTGCCTTTTGTTAGAAGCATGGGAAGGATATAGTATCCAAAGATTATTATGTTCAAGATGTCAATGAATCATTCAGTAGGCCAGAAGAAAAGTCAACAGATGATTTGTACAATAGGAAGAGATTAAACAAAGATTCCTGTTGACTATATACAGTATGTAATTCCAATAAAAGAGAATTTATGTAATTCCAATAGAATACAGGTAGTCTCCAGGTTAAGAATGCCCAGATTACAGATGACTCATAGTTAAGAACAGAGCTTATTCTACCAAAATTTGAGTTAAATACACAATGATTTGAGTTAAGTACACAGTGGTTCAAGTTAATTTCACAATACTACTTATATAGTACTATAATATTGTTCCAGCTTACTTACAAATTCGACTTAAGCACAGACCTTAAGAACAGAACTCATTTTTAAACTGGGGACTGCCTGTATATGTAATTCTGATAAAAGAGAATATATATAACTCAGGGTTGAACTGTATGTATGTAATTGTCTGAAATCATGGTTGTATATATAATAATGGCAATGTGGTAGCTAACATATATTTCTAATTGTTCTAATTTGAATAGGTAAATACATCACAGGAATTTAAAACAGATGGAAAACCTATCTTTATTTATTTCTTTTTCCTTACTTCCTTGAACATTTCTGGAATTATTTCACATTACCTTTCCCCAACTAGCTCAGAGTTTTGAAATAATGATACTTGCTGAGAATTTGGGGAGTTGCAATTCCAACATACCTAGGAAGCACCATATTGAGGAAACAGAGTAGTAGCTCAATTTCATCTGGCAAGGAATATTAATAGGTCAAAAATACATAACCTATGGAAATAAAATCAGAAATTAGTTCTGTAGACTCACGTGATTTTTTTTTCTAGAGAGGGAAAGCTATCTTGCAAAAGAGTATCCCACATCTCTTTTATGTGGCATCTGGTAGCATTTTATCATTAAAAGGGACCCATAAATTTTAAGGTGTTGTGAAAGCTATAATTTCATATCCATTTCTTAAATAATAGATCCCAGAAAGGTGATGCAAAGAAAATGTAGATGTAAGGATGGTAAGAAACAGGGTACAAGGATGTCAGCCTGGGATGTAACTTACATTAATTTGCCTTAAGAAGGATTTTTTTTTTTTTCATATCTAAGTATTTGTAAAAGAAGATTCTTACCTCATAATTTCTGCCCATGACTCTCTGTCCAAGTGTTCATGCTTCATGTCTCATCATTGATGATTAATTCATCAATCATAGTTATATCAATGATCATAATAGTTATATTATCATATAATAGTTACACAATAACGATTAAAAGAAGTATTTTAAAGGGATCTATACGGAAACCTTTTCACCTATCTAAAAAGGAAAGGTTGTGCTTTTCTTTCTTGTTTGTTTCATTTTTGGTAACTTTTTCCCTCAAATCAGAAATCATGGGAAAGCTAAAGCAGGGCCCACATCTTTGCAAGGATTCCAGTGAAACATCTACAAGAATGTTTTTGGCCTGCTTTGGAGAAAAAACAGAGCCGTTGGCTCCAAAGCAGAGCCAATTTTTGCAAGTACTCCATTGGAGTATCTGCAAGAGCAAAAATGCCCTTTTTGACCACCCTTCACTTTTTCCATTTTTAATTACAGGTTTCCTTACAAATGAAGAAACTCTGCTTAGAGAATTAATAAAATTGTTACAGAACATTACACAAAGTTACAATGGCGAGACTTCACCGGACGAAGCAAAAGAAGAATGAGCAATCATAGCAGAAAGAATTTGTTGCAGTATGCTGTTGAATTTCCATAGTGTGACTTAGCTATTACAATCTTTCTATGTACGTTTGAAGCTTTTCTTGCCTGCTGACTGTACAGGAGAAGAATATTTCAGCTGACTTTCGGAAGCAGGAAACTAGAGAAAAGGAAGCATGGGAAAATAATAGGATGAATAATTGCTAGTTGCAGCTGCAAATAGGCACTTGCTTAATGGTACATTAGATGCATATGAATGTGTTGTCCCTTTTTTTAGGCACCAGATGCTTGTATATATATTATACAGAGTGGAACAAGAGGAGAGGGCAGGGACAATTAGAAAGCAAAAGAAACTGGCAGGGACAGCATCAGCATGGCTCTTTTGTCCTCTGGTAAAATATATTGTTGACCTTCACTGCTGCGGGGTGTTCTACATGAACAAAGAGATGGTTTGCAAAACAGTTCTATGAATGTAGAATGTACAAGTAAGCCAAAGTACAGACCTAAGGTACCAATAAGTACCAATTTATCTTGGGTGGGGCTCCCCATTTCAATGTATGGATTTGAAGAGTTTGCCTGTCCTATATGGTTTTGCAGTTGTGCAGCTGCATAGTTTAGAGGTGATCTTGGTGTCACCTCTCTGACCAGGCGTGCTTATTGTCACCTTTCACGACTAGACTAGAACAATCTAGCTGAATGCTTCATGCACTGTTAACCTAACATTTAGATGACCTTAATGTGGACCTGTTCTTGCATTTGTCTGGAAGCTGCAGTGGGTGCAAAATGTAATCTTTTCTTTATTATCCAGTGGTGTGAAATTTGAAAGTATTTTAGCTTTCAGGGAAATAATTTAATCTATGTAGTAGTATCCTCTGAAATTTCTGGTGCAAGCCCTGTTGAATACAAAGTTTCTGCAAGTGTAGTACCATACACAGGTGAACTACATTTTTAGAATTGGATGCTACAGGTAGCCCTTGGGTTACGACAGCAATTGGGACTGGAATTTCCATTGCTAAGTGATGTGGTTGTAAAGCATGACATCATGTGACTACATTGCTTAGCGATGGCAACTCTGGCAGTTCTGGTTCCCATCATTAAACAAGGACCTCATGTGATTGTGACTTCCAACTTCCTGCTGGCTCCCCATTGACTTTGCTTTTGGGAAGCCGGGAGGGAACGTCAGAAACTGCAATCACATGACCGTGGGGATGCTGCAATGAGCAGAATTTCAAGGTAAGTACCATTCATTCAGTGCCATCATAACATTGAACAGTCACTGAATGAATGGTCATAACCTAAGGACTACCTCTATTCCAAATGTTTATTACACTTATAACGTTAAGAAATTTTAGGAGTATAGCTTCACAACTGGAGGTCTTTAGAGCTTCTCCAAAAGTTGCTACTGGATTGTAATTTTAAATGTATCGGAAGGGGAGAATTATTAAATATATAGGAGTAATCATATTAACTGAATTAAATTAAAATTAAATTCTACCACTTTTTCCTGGCCTCACTCATTTTTTGCAGAATAGCCCCAAACACACCATTCAAAAGTGATGGATCCAGTGGTGTGCTGGAACCAACTCGTACTGGCTCAGAAGAGCCAACTATTAAATTTTCTGGAATTTGGTTAGCTGGGTGAGAAGAGCAGAGCTGCTATGCTAGCATGCTGATCAGCTGTTCCGTGGCTAGCTGTGCAACGGCAGCAAGGAAGTAGGGAGAGTCGGTTCTCAAACATTTATGAGCACACCACTGGGTGTCCCTCAGCATTATGCCATACCCATTTTAGAATTATTCTGACTTAGGACTGGAGACGTGCAAAGTAGGATCCCAAATGAGCTTAATTTTTCTAAATTGAGTTCTCCTGGTGAGCAAGAATTGCCACACATGCTAGCATAACTGATGTGCTGCGATGTTCTCAGGTTTCCTTTTCAACATTTATTCAGGGTTAGAATGCCTCCTGTGTTTTGCTGATGTTGCACTGGTGTAAACAGGCTTCCAAGAATGGAAGCACCATAGGATTACACAGCCAACTTCTGAAATATTTCTGACTTTGTGTTTATCATATTAAACAATTTTGAAAATAGAATTGGCTGTATGGTGATGGTATGCTTCAATTGGCAATTCCTAATTAGTATTTCTTAATTTCTTAAGTGGCCAGTGTAATATAAAGGTTAAAGAAAAGCTGCAAGAAACCCTGTATAAAATTACCATCTAGGATATTTATAAACCATTCAGCAAAATCATAAAATTATGTTTTTTAAAAAAGGTTTTTGATTGCAGATCTTGCATGCTTCAGGCTGAGGCCCTCAAAGGACTAAACCTTCATTTTCTTAAAACAAGAAAAACATCTGTTCAGTTATTGCTATTATTCAGGAAGCTAACTTATATAAAGCTATCCTATGCATGTTAATTCTTCTGAGTAATGACTTTATACTCATCATCTTTATTCAGTCAAGCTTTTTGATTAAAGTCAATGGACATGTGTGAGTACAATAAACATTCTGATATTTTCCAAAATTTTCCAAAAAGAAAATTGCTTTTATTTGGTCATAGAACGCTTAAGACTATCACCTCTAATATGCCACATTTTTTAAAGTGCTTCATACTTAATTTATATTATTTTTATCAATTATGTAATGCATACTTCAGCGTAAAAAGAAAGAATTCAGCAACTTAACAATCTCTTTTATTTTTCCACATTTTATCTGTAAATTCCGGTTCTATTTGTATCCAAGGATCTTCCAAGTCTTATTTTGGGAGTTCTTGTCATTTCAGGAGTCTTAGGAGTCAGCATTTATGTCAGTGCAATTGCTCTAAGTATACTCTACTGCTGTTGATAGCAGAATCACACCATATTATATTAGAAGACCATTTTGTATTTCAAGTGGCTTTATCATAGACAGCATACATATGTTTGCTATACATAGGACAGCAAACAAGAAACTTCAAAGAAAGGCAGCACAGCCCACGATTCTGAAAATATACATACTTTTGAACCGTGATGGAAACAAGGGCAAAAGACAAAGAGACTGAAACAGATTAAACCATATTGTGGCTATCCATACAGTACATTAGGTGATTCATCCTGAGAAGATATACATGGAACAATTAATTGACAGGACACCCTTCCAAACTGACAACACCATGAATGTTTGACATTTTGTTTAGTAAGATAGATTGATCATTAATTTTCACATTCTTCAAACAGCCAAGGAACACATCCTGAATTGGAAGCCATGGTGTTTCCAAATTAACTGTAAAGAAAAAGTACAAAAATGAACTAAAATACAATGTATGAACAATTTGGTTTTGTGGAAAACATACACCTGTCTCTGAGAAATATTCTTTAATATTTTTTTATCAAGATAACATTTGAATGAAACATGCTGTTCATAGTTCCATTTAAAACAAACTGCTTCTTTTCTGAGTGATGCATAGCAGTACTACTAACATTTCTTCATACATGTCTTTGAATTTGCAGTAATACATGTTTTATATAGTCTGTTATTGTTAAAAATATAGGAGCCTCTTCTCTGACCTACTTTGTAAAGAATTAATGAACTCTGACAATAATAACAGTAATAGCGAAGTATCTAGCTGATTTGCTTTTTCCTTCTCTACTAACACACACATTCTCTGATATACACAGTGTGTTCAACTTTTCTTCCTCCCTGCAGTGATATTTTCGAAAGTCATCTAGTTTAGCAATAGAACAATAGATAAGGGACACTATGGTAAACTTTGTATAAAGAATGTTTGGTACTGAATGTTTCAACATTTTCTTGCTAGACAGGGGTGAGAAGACCAGAATAACCCTCACTATTTGTCATCTATTAGTCTGTTGGAAGGTGATGTTCAACAGCTTCTGGAAAGCCATAAGCTCTTCATTCTTCCTCTAGAATGTAAAGCCACATTATTCATTCTAGTGACTAAAACATTAGTAGAAGATACTACTTTAGTTGATCTTTGATCAACATCAATCTGAAGGGGGCTAATGCATATTTATACGGATAAACACATGAATGGATCTCCTATGGGGAAAGCATACATGGATATGCATTTTGCATCTTCCTTTTGCAAAGATGGCTCCGTTAAGCTATATGCTGGACTAAAAGCTGATTTGTGAGTATTCTTCAAATCTTGACATGTATAATTTCCAGTCTCCCCTCTTAACTAATAGAGGAAGAAAATCCTCAACATAAGAATGGTAGCTAAAATGATTTCTAATAAAGTATGAAACAATCCGGGTGATAAAGTTGAAAGTCCTAAGTGTCGCCATTCAAAGATGATCAAATTTCCTAAGATTTACAGTGTAATCTTGAAACATCACTGTAGGAGATTTATGGCAACTGTATACATTGTTTCTTTCCATATGTGTGTGTACATGACAACATACCATAATTAGATAACCTATTAGTTGTAATTAATATGTCTCGTTTAAAAATGTATATAAGAGCTGCAAGAAATCCTGATCACTATTTGGCGTGCAGGGATAGAGGGGACTGTAACCATTCTTCTGTTACACCCAGTGCCCAATAGATACTGCTCTCTCTGACAGACATCACTACAATTTGCATCAAAAGAAAGGAAAATGGAGTCAATGAAACCTTCTTTCCTGATGCAAAATAGCAAGTTGAGAACAAGGCCATTTTTCTAAAGGATAATGAAAAACTCCTGCTCTTGAGTAGTCTGGTTACTTCTGACTTCAGCTCCTGCACATCTTTATTTTTTAAAAAAGCACGATCATAAATTATATTCAAGCAATTAACCCTGGACCTGCTTTGACCCTCAGATAGAGGAAAGTTCAGGCTTCATAATGAATGAGACAGAAAATCAGCTGTTTTTTAACTGAACATTATCACAGTTACTCATTTTTCTTCCAAAACAAAGAACTCTCATACCTGGAATTCTTCCAAAATAAAGTGGCTGAGCATGGCTGGTGGAAAGCTTAGGTGGTAGTGCAGTAGTAAAATTTCTGTCTGTATCTACATCTAAGTACACAATATTCTGCTTCTGAGTCACTATAAAGAAACAGATGAATAAATCAGTTCCATCTCCCACCCAAAACAATCAATCAATCAATCAATCAATCAATCAATATAAATCCTGTTTCTCCTTCACAATGTATCTGAAAATCTTTTGCTTAATGACTGGGGAATTCTGGGAGTTGAAGTCCACACCTCTGAAAGCTGCCAAGGTTGAGAAACATTGCTCTAAAGAATTAATGAATGAAACTCCACAGTACCTGCTACAGAGTGCCATTGTCCATTGCACACAGGCTGCTGAGGGGTGACTGAGAGAGAAAACTCCCCAGCACCATTATTTCCAGAGGCAGTGAGCTGTGGAAAGGAGAAACCTATTCAATTACCACTAACAATAAGAATACATTTAAATATATGAGCACACACAAGGAATACCTCATTGAGGGGAGATGGGCGGGGGACAAATTTAATAAATAAATAAATAAATAAATCTTTGTCAGATTTTCTGAGCTTTACTAATATTACCAGTACCTTTAGAGACACCTATCTTCTTTAGATTGCTATGCTTCAACAGGGATACCAGCTCCTGAGAATTCCCAGAGAAGGCTTTTTTTAATTCTGTATTTTACTAACCTGGAGTTTTTCGGCTGGTTTTCACTGGGTTGAGACTGCTAATTTTACTAGCCTCTGGTAACATACAGTAATGCACATACAGGAGACTAAGCAAAAGAAAGCAGTCAGGGTCACTACTCCAACTAGGACTGCCAATACCAGGGAAAAGGGATAGATTTTACCAATCTCAGAAGCATCCAGTCTTGCACCATAGAACTCAGCGGTAATCTTTCAACATCATTTCATCAGAGATGGTTTACAGAGCACCACCCTTCATCTGCCTTTTCTTTTGTCACACCAAACTCTAATACTATTGCATGATTTGTGCACTGTGGCCTAATATCTCAGTTTTGTAAAAATAAAGAATATGAAAACAACACGTCTGTAAAATCCCCATCTTTTGGGGATGATGGGTTTATCTCGAACAATGACAGCATGCAATAGGTGTCCAAATAAAAGGGCTGCTATGGAAAGCAAAGCTAATTAGAAATATTTGTTTATCGGGAGGCAGACTTTGAGGACTCTCTGTGCTGCTTTGTCAACCTCCTAAGATACCTCTTATCACTTCCACTTTCCGTTTTTCTGAATTCACTTTCTAATAAGCCCTAGGTTGCACCATTTAATTATTTAAGAATACCTAAGGCCCATGTGAAGCCAGAGGCATTCTAGGAAATAAGGTGATGGTGGGACTTCCTTTGTTCCATGCCAGCTTCCCACTTTCAAATCCTTTTAAATAATCAGATGGGGCAAGGGGCATTGTAGGCACAACAGCAGTGTCCACTGATATATTAGGAAATCACAGCTATAAAAGATCCCCCCTGCAAAAGGAGATTCAGTAATAAATGGTAGTGTATTTCAGGAGCTCAAGTCCAGAATCATTTCCTCCCTCCTCCCTGTCCTCACCACAGACTGACATTTGAGATAAGGAAGAGAAAAAACCAGAAGTCATTCCTACCACGCCTTCTTCCATGTAAAGAGTTAAATAGTTTTCTTGATTGCTGCCAGCATGGATTAATATGCCAGTGAAACTTCTTGGACGGATGTTAAATACAATCTTATATTCCACGCTTATCAAAAAGGTGTTTTCTGGGATACCAAAAGAAAAAGAAAAAAGGAAATAGTTCTATTTAAAAGAAAGTTAAAAGTATGAACTCAGTTCCATGCACTGTTGCTTTCTACAAGAGTTCTCTGAGCAGCTATTTAATAAAAGAGGGAAGCTCTATAGGTTCCTTTCTCTGTGCCATGTGGTAGGAAGACAACATAGGACTACACATGATGAAAGACAGAATTTTAGATCAGAATAAATAACTCCTCCTATCATACTCACCAATCACAATATGTCCTCCTTCATTGAAAAATGAAACACCATTCTCCAAAATATTATCCAAGCAAGGCAGGACACCATTGTTTTGCTGGTAAGTATATATGTGTTTTCTTCCAACTTTAAAGTTTCTCAAGCAGCCCACAAAACTCTTCTCCGGAATATTCTGAAGATATACACACCCAACATAGATTGGAATAATAATATTACTATATACTTTATATTACTATCATCACCCCATACAGCCTATAGGGTAGGGTTACCAGATGTTTGGCAAAAGAAGGACAATCCTCCTTTTTGTCCTCATGTCCTCCGTCCAGCAGGCATTGCCTTAAAATCAAATATTGTCCAGCTTTTTAAGTATCTTTTACTAAGTGGCTTTTCTCTGGGGCACAGCACAATAAGTGCTAACCACAAGTTAACAGACTGGGTTCTGTGACCTTAATTAGTTGATTCATACCCTGGGCTGACTTGCTCTGCTGCCTGTAATTGACAAGATCTTAATCAATTACATGATGAAGGCTTTTGCTTCTTAACAGGCTGTAGCACAATCCTGCGATTGAAAACCCAGCCTTTCTGATGCTGGAAAAAGTAATTTAATACAGGTGGTCCTCGGTTAAGGTTAATGTTTATTCGTTCAGCAACTGTTCAGACTTATGATGACACTGAACGAGGCGGGGCTAAACAACCAATCCTTGAAGTTCTGGCCATCACAGTGTCCCCATGATCATGGGATTGTGATCTGGGCACTTGGCAACAGCCCACATTTCTGATTGTTGCAGTGTCCCGTGGTCATGAGATTGTGATTTGCAACCTTCCCTGCCAGCTTCCTACAAGCAAAATCAACAGGGAAGCTGGCAGGAAGTTGAAAGTCATGATCATGTGAGATCCTTGCTTAATGACCCACAATGATTCACTTAACAATGGTAACCGGGTACCGCCAGAACTGCTGTCGCTAAGCTGCATAGTCACGTGACATCATACTTTATGATTGCATCACTTAGCAATGGAAATTCCAGTCCCAATTACTGTTGTTAAGCGGTAAGCATACATGTAAGGCTAATTTTTTTTTTCTGCAGTTTTTCACTGTCGTTTTTGTCACAGATGCCAAGAAAGTTAAACAGTGTGTCCTCTTCTTCCCCCCATTTGTCCTCCTTTCCAATTGCCTGTGTCCTCCTTCACCTGTTCAGATATCTGGTAACCCTATCATAGGGCAGGCCTGCACAACATAATGGCCTACAGGCTGCATCCAGCATGCCAAGCTGTCTTGTGTGGCCCGTTGATGTTTCTTAAAAAGTAGTAAATTTGCAGCTGCCAAAAGACATGCTGCTGAGCATCTCCAAGCCTTGTCACCACTACCATCTCCAGCACTTCTATTGCTCCACTAGCTGCGGAATAGCTGATCAGCATGCCAGGTATTTTTCTTTGTGACCCACAAGGATTTTTAACTTACCAATGTGGCCCTTTCCCCTCAACAAGTTGTGCAGGCCTTAAAAATCCCAATTTTTTAACCAACCAGGAATGTGCACAGGGATAGAGTAAGCATGATGGGGGAGGAGGTTAGGGCAACCTTCTCCAGAAAACAGCTGGTGCGTCCATGTTGCCTGAGGATTCTAGAAGCTGCAGTCTCTCTCATATCTCAAGGGCACCAGCTTGGGGCAGTACGGGCTAGCATTAGACTGAGCATGGGAGCATGCAAACTTAGACAAGATCCAGGATTAGATCTCATATCACAGCATATTTAGTCAGAACTGGTTCCATCTCTTATTTATTTATATATGGTGTAAATCAGGCTTTTTCAAGCTTGGCAACTTTAAGATGCTGGCCGGAAAATTCTAGGAGTTGAAGTCCACACATCTTAAAGTTGCAAGCTTGAAAAACACTGATGTAAATAATGCTCCTGCCTCCTATTTGTCTTGCAGCAACAACCCTGTGAGTTGGGGGTTGGGTTGAGAAAATGACTGGTCCCAAGACACCTAGCCACCTTTCATGCCTAAGAGAGGATCACAACTCACAGTCTCTTGGTTTCTAGTCCAAAACCTTAACCACTACAACTGGCTCTCAACAATTCATCTCTTAACAATTAAAGAGCCAAACTATTTAAGAAAAAAATGCTTGACAGATCCTGTTATAATATTTGACTTGGAATGAAGCAGTGGGATGTGGCGTGGAATGGACAGAAAAAAATAGAGCTTCTTGTTTTAGGAAAGGCGCAAAGGGGGGAATTCAAGAAGATGCAAAGAAGGTGAGGAAGTGAAGCAAACTGGGTGAGAAAAATGGAGCACAAGGAGAGCAACCAACTGAAGACACGAAAGTGCAAAAGCAAAGAACGACAGATGCAGCAGCTTCAGCTAAGAAAGAAAAGGGAATTTTCAGAGCAACAATCGGCTGAAAAAATATGAAAGCAGCAGCTACAGGTATCTCAATAATCACAATATTTATACGGCTTTGGCTTTCAGATATTCAGATAAAGTACTTTGTGATGTGGATTTCTATATAGTTAAATAATTATGCTGAAGAGAACTGTACCTTATTTGAAAATCCAACACCTAAAATGTTTTAAATATATTAATTTTAAAATAATTGCAAAATCTGTCCCTTCTCATTCATGTGGAGAAATGTGAGACATGACATCATAATCAAGTGAAAATAAATATTAAAAAATTAACAGACAAGCAGTCAGGCAAAATTAACTACTGCTGACCATCGCACTTGAATAAAACATGCAAAAATTAGATTTGTAGAATATTCTTTGGGTAAAATATATATAACTATGACACTGCTCTCTTATCAGCCTAGCTTCCATTCTGGTGCTGCAGAAGCTTTTGCATGGCCATAAGGTACCTGAGTGTGATTATTCAAAATTGGAATTGGGATTATATATTACCATCTCCATTTCCCAGTGACATTCAAGCTGAAAAGATGACACAAGTATCTTACTTCAGCTTTCCCTTAATAACAAGGCCTTGAAAGAGAAAAAGAAATATTTGCTGCCTTGGCAGTTATAGATAATCTGAGGTAAAAGCATAAATAACCATTTAAATTCATATTGGACAACATCTCAGTTTTTACCTGACTGTTTAATGAAGGAACACCTCCTAGATAGATTGATGCATCAATCTGAGAATAAGGATAAGAAGGTGGTACGTTTCCTTCACGAATCTTCAAACCATCAGTTACAAGGCGTATTTTATTTTCAGTAGTGCTGAATGCCACCTTTTCAGGAGACAAACATAATCTTAAACTGATATATCACACTGTGATTAAACAATACTTAATTAATACTTAATTGACCTTAGATAAAGAAAAGCACATTTTAAAAATAAACACAATAAACAAGTAAAATACGCTATACAGCATGCTGTGGAATATTCACAGTGCATTGGAAGCAGAAGCTATGTATACTTTTATCTATTTATTAGGTTTTGAGGTCACCTGATTCCAAAAAGGTTCTGGGCAGCTTACAATATTTAAAATACATGACACAAGAAACATGACCACCCAGACTGAACCACATCAGGAACATTCAAGAAATATTTGCAGGGACTTCCCAAACCCCCTAACACCAGGCCTAGGAACAGAGACAGGTGTTAAGAGACTTCCAGAACCCTTGGAGAGTGGAAGCCATATGAATCTCTAGGGAAGGCAGGAGCTGCAACAGAGAAGATGTTTCCTTGGCCCCATATGATGACAGCGTTTAATGGAGGGGGCCTGGAGCAAACCCACTCTGCCCAGCATACTAGAGAGGCAGAAAGAATTGGAGACAGAATGATGATTGGCAACATGTTTCTCACAGACACTTTTAGAAGGACATTTGCACCCAAATGAAAATAAATAAATAAATAAACAAATAAATAAATAAATAAGCAAGCTCAAAACTTGCAAAATAGATTTTGATTGATATGTTTCTGGAAAAAATTATCCTAATTTTAATTAAACATTAATTAAAAAAAAAGATGCTCACAACTTGATGAGAAGGCACGTAATTGTGCCCAATATTGAAAACATTGCTGACTGATGATCTTGAGTGTCTAGACATTGTGATATACTGATATACTCTAATAAGTAACTAATAGCTGTTTTTAAAAAAGAAGCATAAGCAATCCATGCTCACCGTATGCCACTGTCCATCATTGTATTTGGCTTTGCTCTTGATTTTTATCCTTCTTCCATCATTAGCAATTACAAAGACATAACGTCCTTTTGAAAGGTAAAGAGCAACATAACTGTTCTCCTTCTGATCTCCCATGAAGAAGACCAGTCCCCTAGATGATGATGTACGAACATCAACAGCAAAATGGGACCTTGAACATATATACAAACATATAAAAAAGAATCAGAGAAGGCAGAAAAAGAGAAAATAAGGTAAAAGTAGAATGCATTTTACTTCTCATGATGTTACTACTAATGCTCTGCTTCTATAATTCTTATATTGTTTATATTCTGAACTTTTTGTAAAAGAGGATTAGGGTTTGCTGAAAAATCATCCACTGAGCTTCTAGGTTAAGCAGAGATTTGAACTAACTGTCATCATAAAGCCAAAGCCAGATCATCATAGAAATGATTGAATGCCATCATGCCACTTTTTATATTACTTGAATTAGGCATAAATTGTTCTTTAGGACCTAGTCTGAAAATACCTACATAAGATAATGGGGAACACTAAACATGAGCTCACACAGTAGAATGTAGGCACATTGTGTATCACAATGAGACTAAACACAGGATCTAGTTGCCAACCCTCCCATATAAACACACACTCAAGTGTGTTTGTGTGTGTGTGTGTGTGTGTGTGTGTGTGTGTGAGAGAGAGAGAGAGAGAGAGAGAGAGAGAGAGAGAGAGAG